GACAACACTCATGAGGATATCTTGTGCGGTTTAACTAATCAGGCTGGTAAACCATTGATAACTTGTGCGGATTAGTTGGTAAACCGTTGAACCCTTGATCGATTTATTGAGCGGTTTAAAGTATCCGGCTGGTAAGAAACTTATATCTTGTGCGGATATTGAACGGTTTAAACAATCCGAGTGGTAAGTTTGTGCGGTTTAGAATCCGCTTGGTAAGTCTTGGACTTTTTGAGCGGTTTATTTCTATAATCGTATATATCTTGGACGGTATTCAATTGAACGGTGTTTGACTTTTGATCGGTTTAATTGTTTGATTCTTTGATCGGTTTAATTGTTTGATTCTTTGATCGGTTTAATAGTTTGACTTTTGATCGGTTTAAATTGTTTGATTCTTTGATCGGTTTAATAGTTTGACTTTGTGATCGGTTTAAAACTTAGACCCTTTGAGCGATTTTTCTTTGTGCGGTTTATATCTACTTGTTGCCCGGATTTCTAATCCGGATAACTTGTTGTTTTTGTCTATCTTTTTGACCGAACTTGTAAACCGGATAAACTTGACCGGATTACTAATCCGGATAAGTGTTTGTGCTTAATTTTGTCTAAGTGTTGAATGTGTGCTTATTCTAGTTTACACTTTATCAGATATATTTTTGTAAACTGATCTTTTAATTCAAACTTTGAACTGCAGTTGATCCTATTTTTCATACAAACTGATAAGATGAGTTCAAAAGAAGCAATGACTATTGGTACTGATACCAAGCCACCTGTTCTTTTTCGTGGTGACTATAATCAATGGAGAGACAGATTTCTGAACTTCATTGAAAGGATGAAAGAAGGAGATCTGATCATGAAATCTCTAATGGAAGGTCGTGCTGAATTCTTTATAGAGATAGAATCTGAAACAGTAGCAGGCATACCTGTGCAGAAAGTTCCTAAACTGAAGGAACATTATTCAGCTGAAGATAAAGAAAGAGCCCATGCTGATGTGCTTTGCAAATCTTATATGATGCAAGCATTGACTAATGATATTTACACGAGCATTGACAGCTATAAATCATCAGGTCACAGCATGTGGGTTCAAATAGAGAAGATGATAATGGGTTCGAAAGTCAGAACTCAGTTGAAAATTACAAATTGCATTTCAGCATATGAAGAGTTCAAGGCTAAAGAAGGAGAAAGYCTTGATGATGTCTATAACAGACTTGCCAGACTGCTAAACGAGCTGACAAAGAACGGAATTTCCAAAACTACTATARAGATAAATGTTAAGTTTCTTAACAAT